GGCGTTTTCATCGTTTCTCATCTACCACATAAATTTTCTCATCCCTCTGATAAATCTCAGTCCTCGTAACTTTCTCGGGAAAATTCTCCTAATCCCCTTTCCTTTTCCACAGATTTTGTCTCCTGCGGTTTTTGATTTTCACAATCTTTCTTCCTCTTGTATGAATCTGTTCATTGTGTGTTTCAGATTCTTGATATATGATTCATTTTCTTCTTGTTAGTCTCTATGAAAAACCTATTGTTTTAGTTACTCAGAGATGGTTGAGCGATCAAACTCACGTTATCTCGGAATAGTAATCACCCGAAAATCGATAATTTTCTTGTTAATATCAACCCTATCCATCCTCTCTTGGTTCTTAATCTTTTCTTCCACAAACCCTAACCGAGTTCTCGATTACATCTCAGTCCCGGAATCCACTGATTTCCCTCTCATCATCATCAAGAACTCAAACAATCTTCCCCAAGAAAACAACGCCGAATCGCCAAATCCCGAAAATAAAGAAGATGAAAACAGAGGAGGAACAAAAACAGAGGAACCCCTTAGTGAAAGCAGAGAAGCTGAGAACAGAGGAGGAGTAAAAACAGAGGACTCAATAAGTGAAAACAGAGGAAGAACAGAAACAGAGGAAGCCGTTAGTGAGAACAAAGAAGATGAAAACAGAGGAGGAGAAACAGAGGAACCCATTACAGTTGAAACCCTCCGACGAATCGAGAAGATTTCTGCTTCTCCAACGCCATTGAAGGTGTACATGTATGATATGAGTCCAGAGTTTCATTTTGGGTTATTGGGTTGGAAACCTGAGAGAGGCGACGTCGTTTGGCCTGATATTAGAATCGATGTTCCTCACCATCCAGGTGGGCTTAACCTGCAGCACAGTGTTGAGTATTGGTTAACATTGGATCTATTGTTCTCTGAGCTTCCACAAGATTCTAGAAGCTCTCGCGCCGCAATGCGTGTAAAGAACTCGAGTGAAGCTGATGTTGTGTTCGTGCCATTCTTCTCTTCGTTGAGCTATAACCGATTCTCTAAGGTTACCCAAAAGCAGAAGAAGAGCCAAGACAGAGAGTTGCAGGTAATTAACTCCAAAGACTAAACCTTTTTTTGTTAAAACTAACATTTTGCAAATAGCAAAGAATGTTGTTTTCATATATATATTTTACAAATTGCAAATGCAAATGAATTTTCTTACTTTGTAGTCAAGTCAAGAATGTCATCAAAACCTAAAAAAAACTTTAATTTGATCTTACTTTTGGACAGGAAAATTTGGTGAAATTCGTGACATTTCAAAAGGAGTGGAAGATATCAGGAGGCAAGGATCATGTGATAATGGCGCATCATCCGAATAGTATGTCGACGGCGAGGCATAAGTTATATCCGGCGATGTTTGTGGTCGCTGACTTTGGTAGATACTCGCCAAATGTCGCCAATGTCGTTAAAGACATCGTGGCTCCATACAAACACTTAGTTCCATCGTACGTTAATGACACATCCGGCTTTGATGGTCGTCCAATCTTGCTTTACTTTCAAGGCGCCATCTACCGTAAAGCCGTGAGTACTTGCTCTTTCTTACAGTAACTTTGCGAGTTTCAATATACTAAAATCACTTGGCTTTTGTTATAACTTATAAGACTGAAAAAATCCAAAAATTTCTAACATTTGTTTTATTGATTCTTGGTAACAATCTTGTAGGGTGGATTCGTGAGACAAGAGCTATATTACCTTCTAAAAGAAGAAAAAGACGTTCACTTCTCTTTCGGTAGCGTTCGAAATCACGGCATAACCAATGCTGGAGAAGGAATGAGATCGTCAAAGTTTTGTCTCAACATCGCCGGGGATACTCCGTCGTCGAACCGGCTCTTCGACGCTATAGCTAGTCATTGTATTCCCGTGATCATAAGCGACGACATTGAGTTACCATACGAGGATGTTCTTAACTACAATGAGTTCTGTCTCTTTGTCCGATCATCAGACGCTTTAAAGAAAGGGTTTTTGATGGATCTTGTGAGAAGTATTGGGAGAGAAGAGTGGAATAAGATGTGGATGCGGTTGAAGGAGGTTGAGAAGTATTTCGATTTGCGTTTTCCGGCGAAAGATGACGATGGAGATTATGGAGTTCAGATGATTTGGAGAGCTATTGCGAGGAAAGCTCCTTTGGTGAAAATGAAGGTTCATAGGTTTCAGAGGTTTACAAGGCCTTTTCTTGGTTTAAGCAAAGATTAATTAGGGGTTTTCCATAAGATTTTGGGAATTTGATTTAGATAGAAATGTAATGAATGTTTTTTTTTTTTGGGGGTTCATATAAAGAAATGGCTAACGTATAGTCAATACTCAATAGAATCAGCCAAGTGGAATAGTTGGTGAACTTGATTAATATTTATGCCTAGCCATTTTGGATCAGTGGATGACTTGACCTACACGAAACACACTGGCATTCGGATAATTAGGTTATTTTGGAGTATCGTCCGTTAATTGTAAGTTGTAACATTTCCACTTCCAATATCGGTTCAAGCTGGTTTCGAATTGAAAAAAAAAAGAACAAATTATAATACTCTAATCAAAGACATAAAAAGACTCAAGACTCGAGATTGAGTCATTGGCAAAACGCACACTTGCTATTAAAAAAGTCTAAATTATCTCAAGGTTCATTATTCGAGGCTCGAGATTCGGAACAAATTAATAGAAAATGAGTCAAGACTGGAGATTTGAGCCAGATAATTGAAAAAAATCAAAAAGAGACCTGAAACTTGTCGTTGATCGATGTTTCACGTATTCTACATTAATAGAACTAACTTACATCTTAGTTAACTAAGAGCTGAGATTGATTCACTCACATTGTCTTAATGGACATATCACCAGTAAATCTACCAACTCACAATCATCCTCTACACCGTTCGTTTCGCTTTATTCACGATTATTGTGATGGTTGTTTTAAAAAAGGTCCAATCCAAGATGGCTACCGTTGCAACGACTCCGAATGCAGCCATATTTGGTTCCATAAAGAATGCGCCGAGTCGCCACCAACATTGCTCAACCACTCTCTCCGACTTCAACACCCTCTCATCTTAACTCAATTCACAAGCAGTTCTTCCAGATGTGATTTGTGTGGGAAATATTTGACGTCATTCCTAAACCGTGGACGTTACTCCACATCTGGCTATCGTTGTCCAGAGTGCGGCTTTAGAGTCGATTTAGCATGTACGATAAAACCGCAGCCGCTGGTCATTATATATCCTATGTTTCATGACCATTTGCTTATCCTCATGGATCATAGAGCAATGGGGACATGTTGCGGAGCATGCAAGGTACGGATTTCGGATAAGCATCCTTATGGATGTCTTAAATGTAATGTGAATTTTCATGTGGAATGTGTCAACCTTGCACCGGAAGTAAACCATCTTTATCACTCTAAACATCCTCTCATGTTGCTCAAATCAGAATCACTCTCCACTCATGTTGCCAAGACATGTGTTCTATGTGGAGCAGAATCAGAAGCGTTGCTTTATCATTGTTCCATTTGCAATTTCAGCGTATGTTTATTCTGTACGACAAGCCTTCCACGTCTTGCTATCGAACATGGAAAAACGCACGAGCACAAGCTCTCCCTTATGCCTTCACGAATCTGGTTTACGTGCAATGCTTGTGGGATGATAGGTAACCAAAGTCCTTACTTATGTCTTCAGTGTGGCTTCTCTTTCCACCGTGGTTGTGTTGATTTACCTCGTGTCATAAACATCAATCGTCATGATCATCGCATTTCTCTCATTCGTCAACTCGGCCCAGGGTATACGAGTTGCGGTGTTTGTCACAAGAATATTGATCAGTATTATGGAGGATATGCTTGCTCTTTGTGTCCAAACTATGCCGTTCATTCTCAGTGTGCGGTGAGGAACGATGTATGGGAAGGGATAGAGCTTGAAAACATACCTGAAGAGAATGAAGATATTGCGCCTTTCATAGTGGTAGGCGATGACTTGATAAAGCATTTCAGCCATGAAGAACATAATTTAAGGTTCAACAAGAGCACAATCTTTCACTATGAAAACACAAGATGCAAGGCATGCGTGTGTCCTGTCTACTCTGACTCGATCTACGAATGTGAGCAGTGTGATTTCATTCTCCACGAAAAGTGTGCTAATCTCCCGCGGAAAAAGCGTCTTGTGTACTCTAGCAAACCATTTACACTTCTTGCTACGAATAGGGATCGAAGTAATCATTTTAGTTGTTCCTCTTGTGGAATACTATCCACTGGTTTCAGGTATGTGTCTGGTCATCTTAACCTAGACACATTTTGCGGTTTGTTTTCTGAACCATTCATGCATGATGGACATTTGCATCCCTTATACTATAATACAAATAACGACCACACTTCAAAGTGTAGTGCGTGCCTTAAAGACATTCAAGGAAACACACTTCATTGCGGTACATGTGAATTTAGTTTGCACTTTCGTTGCGCAAATATGCCAATAAGGGTGAAGAGCAAACACGACGACCATCCTCTCTTCCTATGTTATGGCGAAAAGACGAGTGGTAAATATTGGTGTGATATATGTGAAGAAGAAACAGATCCGGCCAAGTGGTTTTACACATGTTCTGATTGTGGTGTAACTTTACATGTTGAGTGTGTACTTGGTGATTTCTCACATCTCATGCCAGGCATCGTAATCAAGGAAGCTGAAGACAGATTTGAAGTGGTTTCTAACGATAAGAACTCATGCAGACCATTCTGTACCACTTGCAAGACACGATGTAAAGTCCCTTACATTCTAAAGTCTTGTGATGAGGGTAACAAATACATTTGTTCCAAGAAGTGTCTTTCTTTGAGAGACGATGGACAGAAGCTAACACTGGAAGACTTCTTAGTGATGGCTTCAGTGGTCAGAGGTGCCTAATATGCTTTTTTTCAACTACTCTAATGGATCTCTGTGTTCTTTTTCCTTTTGAGACCTCTCTGTTTTTGTTTCGAACATTACTCTGTTTTGAAATCATGGGAGCTGCCTTTTCATTTATTATATAACAAGATACATCGTTCGCTTACACTCTTTATAAGATAAAAACACACACATTACATTATATGATCGGTGAAACGGAGTTATGAAGCATGTTTATTATTTCTTCTCTGAGATCATTTATAACTCTTTCCTTGATTCCGAATCTACCTTCGACTGAATCGTGTCTGGGACTTTCTCAAGGAGCTTGGAGAGCCACTTGGCAGATTGTTTCTCGTGGCGTCCCAAATCATGTGCGTAGTCTACATAGTACAGTCCAGACCTCGTCTTGTATCCATCTTCCCACTCTAGTCCATCCATAAGCGACCACACAAAGTAACCTTTAACATTAACCTTGTCCTCGCTGCCAGAAACAAAAAAGAACAGATAGTTTTGTCATCAAATCCATCAACTAGAGAAAGAGAAGAATAAGAAGAAACAGAGTCTATTTGGAAACTGTGATAAAGTTAACACACCAGACTGCTCCGTGTAAGGCCATGAGATGTCTCATATGATAATACTTTCTGTTACTGTCACTAAGCGCATCGGGAAGTCCATCTTTCTCTTCAAGTGTTTCCTTGTACCCTGAAATTGCAATGAATTTTACCTCTCGGTAAGGAAATTGAGTCCAAGTTTTTAGCAGAGAACAAAAGACAATGTCATACCGTTGCCAGTGACGATGATTTCTGGGTCACCATAGTTCTCTTTGATGTATTTCAAAACTTTTCTTAACCCGTCTGCACAAACTGGATGCTTTGCAGTAGCAGGCTGAAATATTATTAGCATTACATGAGAAAGGGTCTTAGATAAGAACCTCAGAACAAATACAAATATCGTGTAGATGACGCATATATAATACCTGAGAACCAATCTTGTACCCATCTGGATTTATCGCTGCAAGCAAAACGAAAGAAGATTAGAAATGAAGAGTAGTAGTTGTCACAGAAACAAGCAAAGAATTTAATGGTTAGAAAGCAGAGCATACAATGTAATTGGAAGCGAGAATCAGCTTCCCAACTCGGTTTCTCTAGCTCAACATTGTCCACATGAGCAACAAATGCAGAAGTGAAGTAATTGATACCGACAAAATCATAAGAACCCTTCAGTTTCTCCTTCTGCTCGGGCGTAAACGATGGTAATCTAGCACCAACGTTATCTTTCATGGTCTGAGGGTAATCTCCATGTGTTATTGGTTCCATATGCCTGCAAATAGCAGAGAATCCAAACTCAAAACTCAAATGCTAAAAGCTAATTTAAATTTCAGTTAAAAAATATTTCTAAAGACGACTCACCAGCCTAAAGTGAAATCCATAGCTCTCTTCACTATCTCCTCTGGAGGATTCGAGGTGGATTTCTTATCATATGGCTCAAACCACATTGGACTCTGAACAATTCCGATCTTCCCATCTTTGCACTGTTTATTTTGAAATCCATGGATTAGTCAACCAAATTTTGAATGAACCGCGTATATGTATTGGTTCCAAAATATTTTTACCTTTCCGCATTTCCTGAATTCTTCCACAGCTTCGGCATGAGCCAACAGCAAATTGTGACTAACGGTGTAAACTTCATGTCCAGATTCACCCGCAACGCATTTCTCGTTGACATATTTAGAACATCTTCCTGGTGCTTTCACTCCAGTCTCATATCCAGCATGACTAAATTCATAAGGCTCGTTTATAGTAACCCAATGCTTCACTCTATCACCATATTCATTGAAAACAAACTTTGCAAATTCCCGGAAATCCCCCCTATTTACAGAGTTTAAGAAGATATTAAACAACCGCGAAAAGATAGGAAACATAATTGATTAAACAGAGATTAATATATGGCTTAAAGGACTTACAAAATACGGTCACTCAAGAAACCACTGTATTCATCTTCGAGGGCCTGCGGTACGTCCCATTGAAACAGAGTAACCAAAGGCGTTATGCCTGCATAAGCGCAATCAAAGAACACGATTTTAGCCACAACGTAAAAGGAAAACAGAGATTTGATATGAATTTGTAACTTAGCAGAAAGAATAATGACCATTTGCAATGAGCTCGTTGATGAGATCGTTGTAGAATTTAACTCCAGTTTCGCTCACTCCCTTGTCCTTCTTCCCATCTGAATGTTTTGGAAAAAAAAAAGAAAATCAATTAGAGAGTGACTGACTACAACATCTCGTATGATTGCAAAAGAATCATTAACCAAAGAAACTGATTTTTTTTCTTACGAGGAAATATTCTTGAC